TGAGCTCTGAACAATTCTCGAATCCAACCATGATGCCAAAGCTCGTTTCTTGTTCACTTCTGGTTTGCGAAACTTTCTGCAGATGGAAAAAGTCTAAATCAGATCGAATTTTCTAATCCAACTATCCCGCTCTCATTTGAGCTGAAGAAAACGGAAATCGGAAAATGAGACATTATCCGTTTTTTCATTTTCGTTTTAGAGACAAAAATTTAGAAAACAATTCTTTTTCTCATTTTATTTTGAAAATCAATTGAACTAATGACACATGGATTGACCTGGATGGTGTCAGTTGGTCTAATTTGTGCGTTAAAAGCAGCAGGAGGTCACCTGGATACTTCATGAAAACTCCACCGTCTAGTTTGATTGATAGGTTTGAGTTTTTTTTGATAGTTTATGTGACGATGTATATAAAGCAGTTTTTACAGTGGGGCTTTAGATATTACATATAAACTGTCAGTAGAGGTTGGAAGGAGAAGATTGTAAGGTAGGACCTCAGGGGAACTTACTTCACATGAACAAACCATGATCATATGACGAAACAGGGGTGCACCTGGGCTGTTTGAGGGGCAGGGGCAAAAACTAAACAGGGGAACCAGATCAGAGAAAGTTGCACCGAATAAAGATCAGTCTCTAGGAGAATTTTGAAGACATCTTGTAGCTCTTCGCTCGTCTGTCTCTCCGTAAGTTTGTGATCATTAAGTTAGTTGCACAGATCAGATTCTGGCTCTTCAGAAATGTTGGTAAAATGTTTAAACTCTAGACAGCAGGTAGCCTGAAGGTTACAGGATCTGAATCGTATTTCATGGCATCCACACGTCTTCAGTCTGCACACATAAAGGTCACACCTTTGACCTCTGCGGCAGCCCTGATCAGCTGATCCTGAATCTAAAAGCCTCACATGTAGATCAGTGTGAGCTGAATGAGATACGCTTTGTTCAGGGATGGACTGTCTACCTCCACAGACCGATTTACAAAAGTGCAGGACTTATTTAGCATGCAGAGTGTGTGTGTGTGTGTGTGTGTGTGTGTGTGTGCTGGAAATCAGGATGTGGAGAAGCATGTGCCGTTTGCAATCACATGGTAGAGTAGCGCCTTTGCATTTTTAATGTCTGTCATAAATAACCTTGTGGGGCTGTGTGTGTGTGTGTGTGTGTGTGTGTGTGTGTGTGTGTGTGTGTGTGTGTGTGTGTGTGTGTGTGTGTGTGTGTGTGTGTGTGTGGCTCTGTTAATGAGACATGATCCAGCTGTAGCAGACCTGCGTGCACACAGATGATAAATCCTCACTCGCTCTGCAGACCTGAATTACAGGAGAGTGTTGTCGTCATTCGTCGGCACGTCATCCAGACGACTTAAGGAAAAACTTTTTAAGGTTGTTTTCTGACGGGGAAACTGAGGCGCATTTCACCCATACTGCAACCAGTCAGTAGGGGGAGCTCTAAATCTTCTGGTTTCACAGTCAGTGAACACTCATGGCACTATAGCTCAGGTTAAAGTGTTGTAATGAACACTCTCTGGATGTGATACACCGTCTTAATTTGGGAGCTGTAAATTTTCCGTCAACGTGTGCTACCCAATTCTTGCAAAGACGAGTTTCTAATCCGAGCGGCTGAATAAATGTGCTTTTTATTTTTACGCTGACAGGCACAGATTTTAGAAACAAGTTATTCCTTTTGTGTATTTGTTTAATTTCACGCACAAAAAACACATATTTAAGGCTGAGGCTGTAGGAGTTCATGCTTTCTCAAACAATATTAAAGTTTGATAAAAAAGTGATCGATTTAAAGGGATATTCCGGTGTAAAATTAGGTTACACAACTCATCTACTCTCTTCCAGCAGCCGCTTGTTTGTGGAGACCTCAGGCCAGTCCATTACAGACTACAGCGGGGTGTCACAGCTCAAGGAAGAACATTTATGATCATTTCTTTATCATTTCCTTGAAGTAATAATCACCATATTAATCAATTTGCACTGCAGGCGCGGTAGTTCTTGTGCATTAACGTTTCAGTCTGATTGTATTTCCATGAAGAAATGATCATAAATGTTCTTCCTTGAGCTGCGGCACCCCGCTGTAGTCGATAGAGTGGCGTTTTGGTTGAGCGTGTGGCTCTCTGTATTGCTATCATGTGGTCGTTTCTAAAGTTGGTATAACTAGAGAAGTAAGCGGTCGGCAACATTCATCTCTTGAGGGGGTGTCTAACTCAGTGTTACGGTGAGTTTGACCCTAAATTAATTTTACGCCGGAATATCCCTTTAACTGTATTTTAATGTTGAAAACGATCTCTTTTATTTCATAGTTTTTTTTAAAACTTACAACAGAAGTTTTGTTGCTCTGAACTGATTTTAATTTTTACCAGTTGAACACAGATCTGGATGCTGTCAGGTTGTTTTTGTCGTCGTGTCGTGTTGGCTCCACGCTGACCTTCAGAAACGACATAGTCACACCACAGACGAGTCATAATTTCACATTTTACAATAGCTGTTAATTTAAAAGAAATCAGATACCTTGTGTGTTAATTAAATAATCTCAAAATCATGTTTCCCATAGCGCTGGACGGTGGCTTTAGCCTACCTGAAACCAAAGTGAGGTCAAGTGCAACGTCAAACCTGCACTTAATAATCCTGCAACAGAAAGGAAGGCACCCAGCAGGAAGACGGGGGAAAGTCCGGCTTAAAGTGATGCAGATAAATCTAAAAACATAATCAGGGTTATTATTCACATTGTGACATATTGATCTAAAGATGGCCGATCTTTGCCGAGTCCTTGACTGTGAGAGATAGACGGGCCTGACTCACCGCCGATGCTGCTGAGTAACCTCATTAAACTCATTTTGCGCCGTGCTGTTCCTTTGAAAGCGTCGCAGTGAATTAACAGGGCGCTTAAAGGACTTTAAAGAGTTATAGAGAGAGCGCGGGCACGGTAACAGCAGCGGAGACAGTGACTGCACGCTCACGGTTCAGGAGCAGGGCGACCCAAATAGTGGCAGTGATATATTTTCAGAGTGTGAGTCATACAATCTGAAAACAAGGCAAGGTGTGAAACGACTTCTTTAGAGCTCCGTAGGCAGAGAGCGCTCCAGTGGATGGATGGTGGGAGGAAGGTGGAGAAGGAGCATAGTAGGCCGTGTGTGGAAATCTGTTCCGTCTTGGGGAAAGCCGCTGATGTTTGCAAACCGAGTTTCTTCCGGGGCGAGCGGGAAAAGGTTGGACCAAAGACGACCAAAACAAAACCCGATCTGTTCAGAGAAAGAAAAGAAAAAAAAAACTAAATGAATCTGTTTGTGAGTCATCAGCAAACACAGTTGGAAGAGTAAGCCGCAGTGTTTACAAATGCTATCATGGTTTTGTGCCAAGCAGAGGTAAAATAGCAGCAGCTCAGTTTGGAGATAATGCTTCAGCAGTCATGATCCGCGCGTGTGTGTTCTCTTTAAACTGTTTTTTAACCACTGCTCCACTCTTCCTGTCTTTCACACGCTGCCGATACCAACTGAATACTTCTGTACTGCACCCTAATAAGACTTGTCTTTATGCATCTCTTCCTGGCGGCAATAAATATGAATGAGCAGATACCAAATAGCACCCGAGAGGACCATTAGGTGTCCCTGATTCTATCCTGCTTTATCATACGCCGGAACGAGAGCGACAAAGACGGCTTTTAAAAGGAGACAATTTAATGTAGGAGCTTTGGGGTGGTGTTGTTTAGAGAGACGGAAAAAAGATAAAACACAGTGTTGAGGATGAAAACGATGCTATAAAGAGGTATCTGTAACTTTAAAGTCTCTCCGATTTTTACTGTCGCAGAAAAGGTGGCCGAAAAAAGAGTGAATGACCTGCAGAGGCCTGAGCGATCTTCATAAACATGGTGCAGATTCAAAAACACGAGCAACAGTCCAGATAAATGCAGCAGAAGGATGTCTAACCGTGGATGAGTTGCACAAATTGCAAATGCATGACACGAAAACACCTTTTCCCCATCCCCTCTGGATTTTTTTACTGATATGGTTACCGATTTCCTTTGTGCACCGCTGCTCACTGTCAGACTCACCAGCAGCAGTAAATTAAATCCGACTGCATCTGCATTCCTGTGCTACATTCCCACCAGGAGCCAGCGGGGAAGTGTTTGTTTATTTGTTGCTCTTGCTAATAGATTGCTCCTCTCTCTGGAGTCCGTTCAAATTGATGCAAGTTAATTAAAGATGTCTCACTTCATTCTCCTTCTCCAGAGTGAATACATTGATTGATCTTGGTTCACATGTTTGCCGAGCTGCTGTGTTAAATGTCAAGGTTCAGGCTGGTTAAAAAAAAACAAAATCATGATGGATGGATTCCCGGCGTCGTCACTAATCTCGATCTCTCTTTCCCTCTCTTGTAGTTTATTGCCTTTGTGTCTTTGTTCTTCATCCTGGTCTCCATCACCACCTTCTGCCTGGAGACTCACGAGGCTTTCAACACCATCATCAACAAGACGGAGCTCATGCGGGAAAGCGGCATGGCAGATTCGGGCCCGCAGTACGAGATCGAAACCGACCCGGCGCTCACCTACGTGGAGGGCGTTTGTGTTTTCTGGTTCACCATCGAGTTCCTGGTGCGTGTGACCTTCTGTCCGGTCAAGTTGGAATTTTTTAAGAGTGTACTCAACATCATCGACTTCGTGGCCATCCTGCCCTTCTACCTGGAGGTGGGGCTGAGTGGCCTTTCCTCAAAGGCCGCAAAGGACGTGTTGGGATTCCTCAGGGTGGTGCGCTTTGTTCGTATCCTGCGTATCTTCAAGCTGACTCGCCATTTTGTTGGTTTAAGGGTGCTCGGCCACACGCTACGCGCTAGCACCAATGAATTCCTGCTGCTCATCATCTTCCTCGCGTTGGGAGTGTTAATTTTTGCCACTATGATCTACTACGCCGAGCGAATCGGTGCTAAGCCAAATGACCCCACTGCTTCCTCCCACACCAAGTTCAAAAACATCCCCATTGGCTTCTGGTGGGCTGTGGTTACCATGACAACACTAGGCTACGGTGATATGTATCCAGAGACATGGTCGGGCATGGTCGTGGGCGCGTTGTGCGCCTTGGCGGGTGTGCTGACGATAGCCATGCCTGTACCTGTCATCGTCAATAACTTTGGGATGTACTACTCTCTGGCCATGGCCAAGCAGAAGCTGCCGAAGAAGAGGAAGAAACACATCCCACAGGTGGTGCAGGGGGGTTCCCCCACCTACTGCAAAGCCGATCTCAACACCACCTGCAACAGCACCCAAGGGAACTTGTGCCACGTCAAAGGGACCAGGGTACTAGAACGCAACCGCTCAGGTAAGACCAGATAACCAGACCAAGTCTCCATCAGAGCAGCGCTGAAGTCCAGCACAGACCAGCAGTTTAGATTAGGTGATAGCACTCCACATTAAAGGTGGGGTAGTCAGGATGTGCAAACAAAGCTGACTGAAATACAGAGGAAAAAAAAATCAGTTCAGAACTTGGGACCTTTTTATTTATTCACTCTTTATTTTACAACCAGTGGAGTTGCCCCCTGCTGGCAGTGAAAAGAATGCAGATTTAAGACACTTCAGCACCTTTATGCTGGAATAGAAGGTGAAAAGTTCCTCATGAGGCTTAATCTAAGCTGCATTTGTTAAAAAAATTGCAGATAAATGTCTTAGTTCAAGATATTACATGTTGAAAATAAAAACTGAGTTGCTTGTTAGGAGTTTTTAAATAATCTTCTTATGGAGATGAGTTCTTTTTTTTTAATAAAACGTGTCTTAATTGAATAACTTGACTCTTATACTTATTACTCCGCTGGCAGATGTTTTTACTCATCACATTCAGATCCTATTTTTGGTGTTTAATATCCCAAAACAAGACATTTTTCTAGACTTGAAGGTAAATGTGGCTTAAATTAACCCTATACCAACGTTTTTATTAACTTTCGTAAACCAAACCTTTTTTTTACCCTGCTCTGTAGTCATGACAGTGATGAGAATTCATGGGGGGCGTTATCTCAGGTAGAGCTCTGTCCATTTGACAGACTCCCCGCTGACACCAGGAATCGTTATTCCCTCCAGAGCCTCGGCAGCTGCCTCACTCAGGCGCTCTTCTTGCCTCGCAGCCTTCGTCTCTGGTTGCCTTGGTGACGAGGAAAGCAATGCGAAAACTATTAAGATTTGTAGATGCTGGCGTGGAAGAGCTCCTGCTGATAAGAACTCAGTCATGTGTGGAGATTGTTCAAATGTTGTTTGGACTGTAGGTAGCTGGTTTCCCCCCGGGTCCGTGTCAGTAATTTACCCTTACACATCTGATACGGATGGAAATTAGTGTCGAGCTCAGTAAACTGAGTCCCATCGAATAGTGGAGCAGACACTCCTGAGGATAGGTGCTCACTCGTCACAGTCTATTTGTTTATGAGCTCTCCCAATCTCTTATTTAATAAGGATGGAATAATTCACGCCTGAACCGAACGCACAAACAGAATCAATCTGGTTTAGTCGCCTCTGTGATTTCCTCAGGGGTCATTCAAAGGAGACAGTGTCCTCTAGATTACCTCATGTGTGACGTTTTGACACAAACGGCTCGATCTCATACTGTATGCATCAAATTTATCTGAAACCTTTTTGATTATTTGACCAATTACTCAGATTAACTTTGGCTTGGAAATAACATATAATTAGCTCTGCATTCATCTAAATTCACCATGTCATGATCTTGATACTATAATATGTTTCCAGTGCAGCGTGAAAATATAAATGTTCTCCTTTATTGGCCTCATATTACTGTATCAGAATAATCCTTTAGTTTACATGTGTCCTAAATGGATCATCAGTTGGTCAAGATGTTGACTTTGTTTTCAAGTAACCAGGTTTGAAGTAGTTGTCAGGACTGCAGCTAATCATTAAAACGTCTTCATAGATAACTCTACCTACTGTTCGTTAAAGAAAATGTTGGCTGAATTTATCCAGCTAATGTAGGTCTTTATAAAATTGAATAGTTTGTGTCTGCAGAGCTGAATGCTGCAGATTTGAGACCACACTTTTGGGACAGCTATTCTAAGAAACTCTAAAAACCGTGTTTTTAGTATGTATTAACCTAGGCCTGCATTTTTTAGTGTCTGCCTACAGAGTCAGTGTTTATTGCAACCAGTCTAGTAAAACCAAAGCCGGTGTCTAACTTGAAGTAAAAGATAATTTTAAGTGACTCAATAAAACTATTTTAAGTGTCTTATTTCAACTAATTTTTAGTGTGCAACTTTAAGTAATTTAAGTGCCTAACTGTGACAAATTTAAGTATCTTGCCGTAATTAAGTGCCTGACTGTTTCTAATTGAAGTGACTCCCTAAAAATAATTAAATTGACTTACTGTAACAAGGTTTAGTGTGGAACTGTAAGTAATTAAATTATCTAACTGTAACTAACCTAAGTGTCTGACTGTTACTAATTTAAGTTAATTACAGTGTCTATTACTAATTTAATGGACTTGCTGTAACTAATTAAAGTGTTTGATTGTTTCTAGTATAAGTTGCGAACAAAAGTTAATTCAAGTGAATCACTGCATACAATTTTACTATTTGTGTTTTTTTATCATGTAAATACTTGTATAATTTCTCTATATTTTTCCTTATTTTACTTATTTTATCTACTTATCTCTATACTTTTACTTATTTTTTACTTATTTTATCTATTATTTATCTCCTCTTTTACTGTATTTGCACTGGAGAACTGTGACAAGAGGAATTTCCTCCCTGGGGATTATTAAAGTATTTCTAATTCTGATTCAGATTCTGACTAACTAATTTAAGTGTTTGACTGTTACTAATTGAAGTGTCAATAACTAGTTTAAGAAACTCCCTAAAAGTAGTATAAGTGACTCACTGTGTCGAATTTAAGTGACTCCCTTACACTAATTTAAGTGACCTACTGTAACTAGTTTGAGTGTGTAACTGTAACTAATTCAGGTGTCTAACTCTGACCATCCTGAGTGTCTGACTGTTACTAATTTAAGTTACTAACTAAAACTATTTTAAGTGTCTGACTGTTTCCAATTTAAGGTGCTAACTGTTATTAATTTAAGTGTCTTTAACTAATTTAATGGACTAACTGACTAATTTAAGTGTCTAACTGTTAATTAACCTAAGTGTCTGACTGTTTCTAATTCATGTTGCTGACTGAAACTGATTTAAGTGTCTGTTACTGATTTAAGAATTTCAGTACTGTGGTCCTGAAACTGCAGCAGCTGGCTCTGCAGACACACCCAGACACCCGCAGCATCATAAATAACCACCACAGTTTTAAAACTGTGTGAAGTGACAAAGTAAAAGATTTTACAGACACAGTTTTTATAATAAAACTAAAGTAGGAAAGATTTATTCCTGCTGAGAGCCGTGAGTGTAGAGAAGACCTGAACATGATTTCTCTGCTCCTTAGACCTCTGCTGTCATCCAGAAACCATTAAAAACACATAAAGAGACACATAGATGTTATTCATGGCCTCTTCCATCATCACAATGGACACCATCAGCTGTTAAACGGCCTCTTCATTTTTCATCTCTGGAGAGTGACTCTGTGTCGAACAGAGCCGATTAAGGAGACTCTGGGAGGCAGATCCACTAATTCAGCCTGAGAGAGACTGAGGTGGCATCCAAATGCAACACCTTATCATCTACTCTCCATCTGACCTTTGACCTGCACGGCGGTGCATGTGACATTTGCCGCAGGCTTTAATATGAGCGTCCGTCTGATGTTTGTTGTGACCGTTATTCCCCCGTCTCCCCTGAAAACTCCCCTATTCCCTCACCCACATCAGCTCCCGTCTCCGCGCTCGCTGTAAAACACAGAGAGCGTCCCGCTGGGATGTGCATTTTAAATCCAACGCTCCCCGCTGAGGCGGTTATTACCAACCACAACATTTCAGCAGCTGTGACGGGCAGCTTAAAAGTAGCCTGTCAGGTTGAGACAAAAAGTTGTAATTTATAAGACGCTGAGGTGTTTCCTGATCGTAATACACCTTTACTAATTTACTCTGAATTACTCCTGAGTCTTTGAAGGTTTGGGCTCATTTTGATCAGTCAGAAGAAACACAAACTCACACTTAAGTCTTCTGTCCCTGCGGTAAACACAGAACATGTGTCTTTAAGGTTAAAACGTGGCTTTAACTTTTACCAGGAATGAAAAAGGACAAACAGTACTACGCCAGGCTTTGCTCATTTTATCCACATACTGTATTTCCCTGCACAGTAAACACCATCTGTCTGACTTGAACTTATTTCTTCACAAAGTTGTTGCTCGATATGTCACACAAAGGAAAAGCTGAAACAAACTCCCACTAAAAAAATGTTCCTGCAAACAGAGACTCGTTATTGACAGTAAAGTTGCACGAGGCTAAAAGCCAGACTGAAGGAAGTGAGTACTTTAGTTTCTTAGCAACTTGTGTCTAAGAAAGGATAGAAATGATTTAAACAACTTGCGATTATCATATTACGTAATTATGAACTAGTGCCACAAACGAAGAAGGTGAGGCTGAATTACAGAGATTTACAGTGAGGTAATCCTTCTAATCTCACAGTGCTGTCAGCAGACTGCAGCGGGGGCAGCGACCTGACCCTGTCCCCAGAGGAGAGGGTCCCTATGAGGAGGTCCAGCACCCGGGAACAGGACCGTCGGAGCGGGGGGACGTGCTTCCTGCTCGCCGCAAGTGACTACACCTGCCCTGCAGACGGAGGGCTGCGCAAAACAGGTAACTGCACCTGCCAACTCAACGGCATTATCAAGAAACAGATGAATTCATGATTTCAGACGATTTAAAGAACCGTGTCAAATGTTCTCGTCTGTCTAAGTCACTCTGTATTTCATGCTTGCTGTTGTTCATTAAAGTCATCACTTTAAATGTGGGTGAAGTTTCATCTCAGAGGGATTCCTAGGAGTTTCAATGTCAGCTTTTTAAAGACAGAGCACCTGCAGATTTTATCTTAGTTTTAAAGGGATATTCCAGCGTGAAATTAATTTAGGGTCAAATACATCGTAACACCAAGTTAGGCCCCCTAGTCGAGAGATGAATGTTGTCGACCTCTTGATTCTCTAGTTATACCAACTTTAGAAACGACCGCAGGATAGCAAAACACAGCGGTCTGAGG